TTTTTTTTTTTTTTTTTTTTTTTTTTTTTTTTTTTTTTAGGCGTTTAGTTCGACGCGTCTGCATATGAGAATTTGCAGGATCCCGGGCGTCTTTTTTTTCTCTTCGATGCCTTTTTTTTTTTCTTCTGAAGGTCCCTTCGTTTTTTTTGAAGGTCCCTTTTTGATGGCCTCTATTTGGAGGATCCGATAGCAATCCTTCATCCTGGCCATCACCATAGTCAGAACAATCCCTAGAGTAATCCTTGATGATGGCCTTCACTGCATCTGTTAGACTAATCCTCAATGATTAACCAATTTTATGACCAATTTTGATCAGTTAAATTGGGGCTACGAATAGGAGAAATTTACTTCACTCTCTCTGGTCAAGTTATTACCCTTGGTTGCCAGGGTGGGCAGGCAAGGGCCGAGGAAGGGCCCTGCAGAAAAACAAAAGTCCAAAGAATCTGAAAAAACTATGTTACACAGAAAAATAAACTGAACAACTTTTGCCTCAGGGTCAAATCGAAACTCCTTACCAAATTAGGAAAAAAGAAAACAAAAAAAAAAAGTTCTGCCCGGGCCACTTTTGTAGCTTATCGTTGTCCCCCGAACACAACGCACCCTCGTTTTTTCTTTTGGTCTGGCTGAGTGTGGCTCGAACACTCGTGTTGGTCGCACACCCGGACGCTGGGCCCATTTCCCAGCTTGTAATTGAATGTTTTTCTTCTTCTTCTTCTTCTTCTTCTTCTCAGTGTTGATGACTATCCTCGTCCCCTGAAACATATACATTCGTTATCAGGGTGCGTTGTGGCAGAGGCGTCGACGCTATGAGAGAAGAAATGTGATAGCTGCAGCACGCCACACTCGCACTACCATCTTCCCCTGAATTTAACGCACCCTGTAAATGAACACATTCAAGGTATGTTTCCGGCCTGATGCGGTCAAAATTAGGGTGCGTTGCGTTGGGGGGAAGATGGTAGTGTCCATTTTCAGGGTGCGTTTATTTTCACTTGACAACAAAAAATTGAGTGTCGAGCCAGTCGAGGAAAGCTAAGTGTATACTGCCTTTGTCATAAAATTCAAAAATAGAGCCAGTCGCAGGTGCGTTTACACTGCTTCATTTCTTCGGCCGCAGTCGCTGAGCAAGTGGTCCCCTGCTCATGTGTACACTGAAATGCGTTCGGGGGGCCGATTCCGCGCTGGGGCCGATTCCGCGTTCGGTCCCCAGTTGGCCGAACGTCCGAACACATTCGGATGTTCGGTGGGGGCACCGAACGTGTTCGGTGTGCTACCCAGATAATGGCAATCTAAAAGGCCCTAAAGGCCGTCCTGCCCGGATTTGACAAATAATTGAATTGGTCGGGCTTAAAGAATTAGCCTTAAAAAAAAAAAAACTTAAAAAAAAGCAATTAATATATGAATCTAATTCCAAATTCAGGAGCGGACAGGCCTCAAATTCTCAACCTCAGACTAAGCCCCGCCCATGTACCCATGGACATCATCTCCTCTAAGTAGTACAAAAGGCATCGCACACATCTTTTTTTTTTAAATTGAAAACCATCACTACCTCCGATCCTGTTTTTCCCAACCCTGAATTTCATTGTGCACCCGGAAAAAAAAAAACCACCACTGAATTTGTTTTTGAAAACCACCACCACCTCCAATCCTGTTTTGCCAAGCCTGGGTCCCGTTGAAAAAAAAAACCCACCACTGAATTTGTTTTTGAAAACCACCACCACCTCCGATCCTGTTTTGCCAATCCTGGGTCCCATTGTATTTTCTTTCCTAGTACTCATGGCCGTTGCMCCCCCCCCCCAAAAAAAAAAAAAAAGAAGGAGAAGAAAATATCAAACTTCCCTAACGCTGTCATAAGCCACCAGATACATTCTATGAGGCGTCTGTGTCGTGAAGAGGAAATGAATAAAAAATAAAAATAAAATCCCTTATGATGTGATCCCGGTCCGATACATACTGGCCAGTGTGAGTATGAGTTCAGTGAGGCAGTTTGTAGCCGCGTGTGGAGTCCGCCCTGCCTCACAGGCAGGGCACGAAAAGGACCCCCCCAAAAAAAGAACAACAAGAACAACAGCAATCACCTTCGACACATATTGGCCATATACATTCCTTATAGTGAGTTGCTAGTGAGACTGTGCCCCCGGTGAGGGCGTCTGTTCCGTGAAGAAGAAATGAAGAACCAAAAAAAGAAAAACATCCCTTATGCAGTGAAAATCAGGGTCGGCAAAAACAGGCTCGGAGGTAGTGGTGGTCTAACCCCAGTTAGTTGAGATTGAATCATTAAACCGCTGGTCTGAGGCTTGGAGGTAGTGGTGGTCTAACCCCAGTTAGTTGAGATTAAATCATTAAACCGCTGGTCTGACGCTTGGAGGTAGTGGTGGTCTAACCCCAGTTAGTTGTGTGATTAAACCCCTAGTTCAGACAAGCCTAAGCGATCGGAGGAAGCGGCCTTCCAAGGCTTGCGAGCGAGCCTGCAACTGTGCCTTGTCAAAGTGGCCTGCTGCTTTTGCTACCGGCCCAGGCCCGAAGCCAAGTGCTCTTATTACCACGTATAGTAGTATACGGGTATTTAGGTTCGTATGAAGTACTGTGAACTGGTTGTTTAAGCATCAAAGACTGCCGGACAAGTGATACCCTGTAAGGACTAAATTCTAAATCTGCTGAGGGAGCGCTAAACTCTACACCAAACAGATCAGATCTCTCTAAAGGGAAAGAATGACAAAAGTCAAAGCAGACTATCACTCAGGCACACGAGGCGAAAAACTCTACAGTCTGCAGGTTCACACCCCATTGTAAGCTGGCAAAACCCAGAAAGTTCTATCACAGCTAGAAAATATACTCCGGACACATGGCTGGCACTAGAGGCACATCATGGGTTTCCAGTGACGGCCCCGACTACCGCCACTCGATCTGACCACTGCCACTCAACCTGACCCGAAAACAATGCAGCAGGGAGCCAGGGTAGTCGTGGTATATACTGTCATAGAGAACTGCCTGGTGAACCATAGGTAGAGAGGGAGAAGAGGATATGATATTATCTATCCACCTTATATAATCTATATCTATATATGTATATGTATATATATCTACCTATCTAATGTTTCATTTGATGATCACTACATCAGTCAATCATCTGGACGATCAGACGGGACTATCTGAGAAAGGTATTACCTCTCTTCCTTAAAGCTCTTTTGCGTTTGCTAGTGTGTCCCTCGCCAGGGGCCGACGCTTTGTGCTCATCTCCCTCATTGTCGGGATACGACTTCTCTCTCTTGTCGGCTCCAATTACTTCGTCCCGATTACCACAGGTCCTGGTTCGTGTCACACCCCTGCTGTCCTGCCCGTGCTCGTCTCCTCCTCTTGCTCCTCCTCCTTTGCGGTCCATCCATCTGTTCACTCTCATGGCTCATCTCTGCTTTCCTTTTTGCTCCTCTTTTCTCAATACCACCTCCACTCTTCTCTCCTCTCTTCTCTCCTCTCTTCTCTCCTGCATTCGCTGTTCGTGCACCCATGGTTTCTCTTTCTCTTGCTCTCGTGCCTCCGTATTGAAATATATTATCCCTTTTTGCCTCACGGTTCGGCGGGTCATTCTCTGTGACTATATGTATATCGGTTAATGGATCGAACTTAAGATATATTCAGCCTCCTGATGAGTCGGTGAAACTCCGACGAAACAGTTTGTCACAGCCCCTCGTTTGTTGTCCTCTTCTCCCTCTCTGCCTATGGTTTACCGGGCAGTTCTGTTTGACGATATATATGTATGTATTTATAAATATGATATCGGTTGATGGATTGAATCATATACGGATTTGGCTCTTTGCAGGTGCGGACAATATTTGTTCTTGGATTTCCTCCAGACGTGAAAGAGAGGGAGCTTCAAAATCTGCTGAGATGGTGGCCAGGGTTTGAAGCCTCGCAGATGAACTTCAAGGGAGAGCAACCTATGGGATTTGCACTTTTCAGCTCGGCTACCTTGGCCTTGGCAGCGCGGGACGCATTGCAGGTTCCCTTTGTTTCTGCATTGTTTCCCACTTCTTTCTCTCTCTCCCTGTCCCCTCCCCCTCCTTCCTCTCCACCTCATGTAACTTACTACTCTCTCCCTCGCTCTCGCTCTCTCTCTCCCTCCCCCTCTCTCGCACCACCTCTCTCTCTAGCCATCTGTCTTTCTTCTCCTGTGTCGCTAAAAAAAACCCCGCTTTCCTCCCGTTTCTAGCATTTATGTCTCTGTGGTTTGTTCTCCAGCCACCCTCCACCTGCTTCTCACCCTTTTCCCCCGTCTTCCCCTCCCCTCCCCTCCCTTCTCCCCCCATCTTTGTCCTCAATCCATCCCTCCCCTCGTTAGTCTCCCTCCCTTTATGCCTTAAACCACCAGTACACGGCCCCGAACGACGATGGCTGGTGGTGCAAGCCCAAAAAGTAAAAAAGTGCACTTCTGGCAGTTCGGAAAAGCTTGGCGAGCAGCACAGCACCTCCAGGCCCGGGTGCCTTAAAGCCATCCCTTCCTTCTTTAATCCCCTCGCCCCCGCTCTGATCCCCACCCTCCTTTGCAATTAATTCATCCCCTCCCTCACCTAGCCCCCTATCCCCCCCCCTCCTCCTTCCCCCTTCTCTGTCTCCTTCCTTGTCTCCCTCTCTCTCTCTCTTTTCCTCACCTTTTTTTTTTTTTTTTTGTTGTTAAACCACCATTACCTTTCTCAGTGTTGGGAAAGAGTGGCAATATTGCCTATACTGCATTTTTCAGGGGCCCGGCGGAGGACCGGCGGACCTGTGGGCCTGCTTGCAAAAAAAAAAGGAAAAAAAAGCAGCAGCTGTAACCAGAGGGACGATGTTGGGGATGGCCGTGACGCAGGTCATACTCACAACATTAGTACTTTGGAGAATGTCTCTCTCCAGTATTGTGGCTAGTATATATATATCGTCAAATAGAACTGCCCGGTAAACCGTAGGCAGAGAGGGAGAAGAGGACAACAAACGAGGGGCTGTGACAAACTGTTTCGTCGGAGTTTCACCGACTCATCAGGAGGCTGAACCCTCAACAGTCTGC